TTTGTGAGTTTGAGGCCAGCCTGGTCTACATAGTGAGTTCCAGGACAGCTGGGGCTACAAGGAGACCCTGTCTCAAAAAGACAAAAAAATAAATGAAAGAAAGAAAGAAAGAAAGAAAGAAAGAAAGAAAGAAAGAAAGAAAGAAAAAGAAAAGAAGCTAAGAAGGAAAGGAGTAAGAAAGGAATTCTCAGAAAATATTTGTTCTAGTTTGCTTTCCTGTTACTGAGATAACCAACTCAGGGAGAAAGGGTTTATTTCATCCTACATGTCACAGATCATTACCCAGGGAAGCCAGGGCAGAAGCTCAAGGCAGGAACTAAGCAGAGACCCTGGAGGAGTGCTTCTCACTGGCTTGCTTCCAGGCTTATGTTCAGTCACATTTCTTATACATCCCAGACCCACCTGCCCAGGGTTGGCACCACCCACCATGGATGGGGCCTTCCTACATCAAATAAGAGTCAAGAAAATGCCTTGCAGACATGTCCACAGGCCAAACTGATGGAGGAAATTCCTCAATTGAGGTTCCCTCTTCCCAGATGTGTCAAGTTGACAACCATGATTAACTATCACAGTACTCAAGATTAGAAACAAATTCAGGGGATGGAGTGTTCAAATACTTCAGTAAAGTCTGCCTTGTCTTCAAAGGGGAAAAAAAGCTTATATCAAAGAAAATAAAAAGAGAAGATATATCTGTATTGAATACAGCCAACATTGCAGGGGTAGAGATGAGACAGAGGTATGCTTAAATGTATCCTTATCCAGGGGAAGAAATAGATACTGACACAATATCCAAAGGGGCAAAAAAAAATATGAGTATAAATTAAGAGCACTCACAGTTAAGAGGAAAGCACAGTGTGCAGTCTCAGTGTAGCTGGTGGACCTTAGAGAGGAACCTAAGAGCAAGGTAAAAGGACTAAACGAGGAAGGTGTGCTGGTTCATGCTTGGAGTCTCTGGAGACTGTGACAGAGGGTTGTTTTGAGTTCAAGGCCAGCCTGAGCTACATAGTGAGTCTCAGGCCAGCCTAGGCTATTGTGTGAGATCCTATCCCAGAAAATCCAACAATAATAATAATGCAAAAAGAATATAATATGAAATGTAAAAGAACATAAAGAAAAGAGGGGCCTGACGTGGTAATACACACCTTTAGTCTCAATAGTCAGGATGCAGAGACAAGCCAATCTCTGTGAGATTGAGACCAGCCTGGTCTATGTAGTGAGTTCCAGGCCAGCTGGGGTACAGGGAGAACCAAAACCAAACCAAAACCAACATGCAAAGACCGAAAAAAAAAAAAAGACAGAATCACCCTACCTTAATTTAATTATGAATACGATAAAGTCGTTTGAGTTAAATTCAATATTATTGAACAGACCAGATTTTTTTTATTATAAAGGTGTAAAATAGTTTAAAAAGCTTAAAACAAAAGTTGAAAAACAAAAAGATAGAAAAAACACACAAGGTGTATATGATAAAAATCTAGAAGTTAGGGCTGGAGAGATGGCTCAGCTGTTAAGGGCACTGACTGCTCTTGCAGAGGACCTGGATTCAATTCCCATCACCCACATGGTGGCTATGAACCATCCTCAACTCTAGTTCTAGGGGAATCCGAAGCTCTCTTCTGACCTCTGCGGCATTGCACAACATGGGTGCACTCACATACATGCAGGCAATACACTCATTCACATAAAATAAAAATAACAAATAAAATATTTTTTTTTAAATGTAGAGGCTGCTGGGCATGGTGGAGCACGCCTGTAGTCCCAGCACTTGGGAGGCTGAGGCAAGCGGATCTCTGTGAGTTCAAGGCCGGCCTGGTCTACATAGTGAGTTCCAGGACAGCTGGGGCTACAGGGAGACCCTATCTCAAAAAGACCAAAAAAAAAAAAAAAAAAGTAGAGGCTGGAGAGTTGACTCAGTGGTTAAGAGCACCTGTTATACTTGCAGAGGACCTGGGTTCAATTCCCAGCACCCATATTCCCAGGCTCACAACTCCTTCTCAACTCCACAGACACCTGCAGGCATATGTACACATACACATAGAGATACACAAATATACACATAAATAAAAAATAATAAAAAAATATTTTTAAAGATTTTATTTTTATGTGTATGACTATTTTGCTGCATGTATGTAAATGCACCAAGGGCATACCTGACGTCTGCAGGTGCCAAATCTTTTTAAAAAGATTCTTTAAAAAGACTCATACACATTTTAGCCGGGTGTGGTGGCACACGCCTGTAATCCCAGCACTTGGGAGGCAGAGGTAGGGGGATATCTGTGAGTTCAAGGCCAGCCTGGTCTACTCTTAGTGAGTTCCAAGACAGCTGGGGCTACAGGGAGACCCTGTCTCAAAAAGACCAAAAAAAAAAAAAGATAAAGGAAAAATAAAAAGATTCTAGTATAGAAGTTGTTCACTTCCTTGATTAGGTTTATTCCAAAGTACTTTTAATTTTTTAAATTACTTTTATTTATTTTCTGTGAATCACAGAGGACAACCTGCAGGAGTTGGCTTTCTCCTTCCACCAAGTGGGCACCAACGGCATTAGGCTTGGCCACAAGTGCCTCTATTCACTGTGCCATCACACTGGCCTTTCTTCAGGAGACTTTGGTGAGCTGTATTATTTTTTTTCTTTTTGAAGGCTGGATTTTTAAAATTTCTTTCTTGGTTTATTATTTATTTATTTGTTTTATGTGTATGAGTGTTTTGCCTGCATGTATGAGTGCACCACCACGTGCATGCAATGCCTGAAGAGGTCAAAAGAAGGCATCGGCTCTCCTGGAACTGGAGTTAAAGACAGTTGTTAGCTGCGATGTGGGTGCTGGGAGGTGAACCTGGGTTCCTCTGCAGGAACAGCCAGTGTTCTCAACTGCTGAGCCATCACATCAGCCCTTTTTTGAGGAGGGGTTATTTTTATTTTATGTGTGTGAGTGTATTGCCTGCATGTATGTAAGTACACCTGTGTTGTGCAATTCCTACAGAGGGCAGAAGAGGGCACCAGATCCCCTGGCACTGGAGTTACAGACCATTGTTAACTGCCATGTGGGTGCTGGGATTCAAACCCAGGTCTTCTGCAAGAGCAGCCAGTGCTTTTAACCACTGAGTCATCTCTCCAGTCCTCCAGCCCTCCAGCCCTTTGTATTTTTTTAATTAATTACTTAATTTATTTTTTATGTGTATGTGTGTATTGCCTGTATGTCAATAAGTGCATCCATGTCATACAATGCCCATGGAGGTCAGAAGAGGCTGTCAGATCCCCTGGGACTGGAGTTAGACAGTTGTTAGCTGCCATGTGGGTGCTGGGATTTGAACCCAGGTCTTCTGCAAGAACAATCAGTGCTCTTAACCACTGAGCCATCTCTCCAGCCCCCATGTATTGTTTTAAAATTTGTATTTATGTGTATGTGTGTGTGTGTCTGTGTGTTTAGGTGTATGTGCCAGGACATGCATGTGAATATAAGAGGACAGCTTTGGGAGTCAGTTCTCTCCTGTCACTTTTTTTTTTTTTTGGTCTTTTTGAGACAGGGGCTCCCTGTAGCCCCAGCTAACCTGGAACTTGCTATATAGACCAGGCTGGCCTCGAACTCACAGAAATCCACCTGCCTCTGCCTCCCAAGTGTGCCACCACGTCTGGCCCTCTCCTGCCACTTTTAAGTCCAGGAATTGAACTCAGGTCATCAGGCCTGTGCTCAAGCTCCTTTGCCTGCTGAGCCATCTCAACAACCCATCTTCAGCCTTAACATGAAGGGTTATTGGAGTTTGTCAAAAGCTTTTCCTGCATTTATAGAGATGATCATGTGATTTCTGTCTCTGAGGCCATTGATGGGATGTATTACATTTATTTTATTATTTTAAAAATATTTTATTAATTTTGTTTTATGTGTATGAGTGTTTTGCCTACATGTAAGTGCACCACATGTGTGCAATGCCCTGCAGAGGCCAGAAGAGGGTGTCAACTGGACAGTTGTTAGCCACCATGAGGGTGCTGGGAATTGAACCTGGGTCCTCTGGAAGAACAGCAAGTATTCTTAACCACTGAGCCATCTCTCCAGCCCCATGCATTACATGTATTGATTTGCATACGCATTCCTGAAATAAAGCCTACTTGATTGTGTTGAATGATCTTTTGGGTGCTTCCTTAAATTTGGTTTGCAAATATTTGTTGAGAATTTTTGTGTGTATGTTCATCAGCGAATTTGATCTACAATTTCCTTCTTCTTGTTTTATATCAGGGTAATCCTGACTTTGTAAAAAGAATTTGAGAATATTCCTTCCATTCCTATTTTATGGAATACTTTGAGAAGCGTTAGTGTTTGTCACTCTTTGAAGGTCTGATAAAATTCAACAGTGAATCCATCTGAGTCCAGACCTTTTTCAGTTGGGATATTCTTTTTTTTTGTCTCCCTGTAGCCCCAGTTGGCCTGGAACTCACTATATAGACCAGGCTGGCCTTGAACTTAACAGAGATCCACCTGCCTCTGTCTCCCAAGTGCTGGGATTAAAGGCATGTGCCACCACACCCGGCTCTCAGTGTGGATTTGTGTGTGTGTGTGTGTGTGTGTGTGTAGGTGCTCTTGGAGCCCAGAAGAGGGTGTTAGATCCCCTGGAGCTGGAGTTAGGGGTTGCTATGAGCTGCCCAAATGTGAATACTGGTAGCTGAACTTAAGCTCTCTGCAAGACCGGTGAGTGCTGTTAACCACTAGCCATCATCTCTTCAGCCCCTACACTGGTCTTTAGCTTACTTTTGTTCACCCAAGGTCTTAAGATACATCATAGGTTGGCCAGAAGAGGGTGTTAGATCCCCTGGAGCTGGAGTTAGGGGTTGCTATGAGCTGCCCAAATGTGAATACTGGTAGCTGAACTTAAGCTCTCTGCAAGACCGGTGAGTGCTGTTAACCACTAGCCATCATCTCTTCAGCCCCTACACTGGTCTTTAGCTTACTTTTGTTCACCCAAGGTCTTAAGATACATCATAGGTTGTTTATTTGAGATATCGCTGATGTTTTTTAATTGAATGCTTCACAGATTTGTTTAATCCTTGTGCAGGGACCATGTTAATCTTCTCTGTATTGTTCCAATTTTAATTTAGTATACATACTGCCAAAGCGGGCACAAGATCTGATTACTTAATGTAGGCACTCAGAGCTATCAACAGCCCTCTTCAGGCAGCTGTCACTGTGTCCCATGGGTTTTGATATGCTGTTTAATTTTCATTCATTTGTAGGAATTTCTTAATTTCTTTTTGGAGTTCATCGTTTCGTGGTGGTGTGCTGTTTCATCCCCCTGAGTTTGTGCATAGTCTATGATTCTCCTGCTGTTGGTTTGTAGTTTTATTCCATTGTGACCATAGAATACAAAGAATTATTTTACTTTCTCGTGTTTCTTAAGACTTTTTCATCTTAATATATGATCTATTTTATAGAAAATTCCATGGGCTGCTGAGAAGGATGTGCATTCTACAGAGTTTGGTTTGAATGTCCTGTAGATGTCTGTTAAATCCACTTGATCTATGACATCATTCTGATCTTTCTCTGTTATTTTTTGCCTGGATGACCTGCCAACTGGTGAGAACTGGGTATCAAAGTCACCTACTATTATGTGCTGGGCTTAATCTATGACTTTTCCTCTGGTAGTATTTTTTTTTTATGAAATTGTGTGTACGCCCATATTTGGTGTATATATTTTTTAGAATTGTAATGTCCTCTTGATGAGATTGTTCCACTGATCAGTTGGAAGTGACCTTTATCGCCTCTTCTCAGTAGTTTTGGTTTAAAGTCTGTTTTGTGGATACTAGAATGGTCACTCCTGCTTGTTTTCTAGTACTATTTGCTTAGAATACATTTTTCCATCCTTTCACCCTAAAGTAGCATCTATCTTTTTTGAAGAGGTGTGTTTTTCTGGAACCAACAAATGGATGGATTCTGCCTTTTAATCCAAACTACTAATCAGGGTCTTTTGATGTATTGAGATGTTTATTATTTCCTGTCATTTTGTGGACTTTTTAGTGTTTTGTGTTTTCCTATGCCTCTTGCTCAACTATTATTCAAGAGTGGTTTTTTTTTGGGGGGGGGACCAGCAAGATGGCCTAGTGGGTAAAGGCATCTGCTGCCAAACTTGAACACCTGAGCTCTGTCCCTGGGACTCACATAGAGGAAGGAGAGAAGAAACTCCTGCAAGCTATCCTCTGACTTTTACATGTGTACCACACAGCATTGACAAGAATATACATACAACAAAATAATAAATAAATAATTAAATGTAATAAAATACAAAAGAATGGTTTCATATTCCTAGTAGCCTCACCTTTCCTAGAACCAAAGTAGTGGACATCAATTCCTTAAGCTTGTTTTTTCCCATAGGAAGTTTTCATTTCTCTTTCAACTGTGACAAATAGCTTTGCTGGCTCTAATAGACTAGGTTGACTGTTGTCTTTCAAAACCTGAAAAACATCATTCCAAGCCCCCTTGGCTTTTAAAGCATTTACTGAGAAACATGCTGTTATTTTAATGAGCCTACCTTTTTTAAAAATACGTTTTATTTATTTTTATTTTGTGTTATGATTTTGTTGAAAATGTTTCCTATGCCTTTAGAATGGAATGGTTTGCCTTCTTGTATGCCCATGGTCTTAGATTTGATATTTTCATAGCATCTCAAATAATTTGCAAGTCCCTTTCACACCTTCTTATTCATTGTCCTTGTTAGAATGTTCCAGTTCCTACATCTTGTCTTCAAGCTCAGATCTTCTGTATTCTCTGAGATCCATTCTGTTAATGAGGTTTTCCCTGAGTTTTTTATTTGACCTATTGTTTTTCATTTCCAGTATTTTAGTTTTGCTTTTCTTCAGTTTCTCTCCTTACTAAGTTCCTCTTTTATATCTTGTACCAACTTCTTATTTCATTCAGCTGTGTGCGTGTGTGCTCTCTTGGGATTGGCTCAGATGCTTATTTTCTTTTTCAAACATATTTATAATCATTCTTTTCAGTTCCTTGGGAGAAATTTCATTTCTGGCGGAGTTATCTACCTTGGTTTTCAAGTTCCTTGTACTTTTCCTTTGGGGCTTATGCATCTGGAGCTAGGGATGGGGGAGGGATGAGATTGGTGCTGGAGAGATGGCTCACTAGTTAAGAGTACTTGTTGCTCTTGCGGAGGACCTGGGTTTAATTTCTAGCACCTACATGGCAGCTAACAACTTTTTGTAACTCCAGCCAGTTCTAGGGGATCTGATGCCCTCTTCTGACCTCCGTGAGCATTGTGAGACACAGGTACACTTACATATATGCAGGCAACACACTCATACACATAAAATAAAAATAATATATTTTTTTAAAGAGGGACTAGGGCTAGGCGTGGTGGCACATGCTTTTAATCCTAGCACTTGGGAGGCAGAGGCAGGTGGATCTCTGTGAGACTGAGTTCAGTCTGGTCTACATCGGGAATTCCAAGCCAGCTGGAGCTATAGGGAGAACCTGTCTAAAAATAAAAATATGACCACTAATAGAAATTAATTCCAAGATTTATGACTGACAAATCACTTCTCTGTGCTAGACTTGGTCATTAGGGCACCAGACTCAAACCCCAATATTCTACCAGTTTACTGTTTTTTAATGTTTCACTTATTTATTTTATGAGTATTTTGCTTGTATATGTATGTATATATATGCACCCAAGTTGTGCAATACCTTCAGAGGTCAGAAGAGGTCATTGGATCCCCCGGAACTGGAGTTACCGATGGCTTTTGATAGAATATGTGAATTGCAGAAGAGCCACAAGCCTTATTAGGGAAAGCCATAAATCCCTTAAAGTGTCTAACTGGCCCTAAATTGGCAGCCTGGCCTTGCTCAAGCCTTATCAAGTGGTCACTCCCTGGACTGAGAGAGAGAGACTGTTTATGGAGCCCACCTGTCTCCTTTAGTGGTATAGATAACTTGCCACCTGTCTGAGAAAAGAGACCCTCAAGGACACCAAACTCCGGCACTAATTCAGCTCCCCACAAAGTGCAGCTGTGTCTCACAACTTTCATATAAAACACCCCTGGTTTCTTTGTCTAGTTGTAGATGCTTGGTTCCCATGGACAGACTCTACCTTTCACTGTGTCTTCTTTGAATAAAGGAAGATATATTCCTTGCCTGTTGCAGGTCTGGCCCTGGTTTCTTGTCTCGGTACTCCTCTATCTTTCCTTTTATTTTCCAAAAATATCTGTTTTTAGCCACCATGTGGGTGCTGGGAATTGGACTTCCATCCTTGCAAGAGCAGTCAGTGCTCTTAACTGCTGAGCCATCTCTCTAGCCTACCAGTTTACTTTGTTTTATCTTTTTAAAAATTTATTATTGATGGGCGTGGTGGTGCAGGCCTTTAATCCCAGCACTTGGGAGGCAGAGGCAGGTGGATCTTTGTGAGTTCGAGGCCAGCCTGGTCTACATAGTGAGTTCCAGGACAGCTGGGGCTACAGGGAGACCCTGTCTCAAAGACACACACACACACAAAAATATTTTTTTTAATATTTTGTTATTTTTATTTTATGCGTATGAGTGTATTGCCTGCATGTATGTGAGTGCACCCATGTCGTGCAATGCCACGGAGGTCAGAAGAGGGCTTTGGATTCCCCTGGAACTGGAGTTAAAGACGGTTTGTAGCCACCATGTGGGTGCTGGGAATTGAACCCAGGTCCTCTGCAAGAGCAGTCAGTACTCTTAACCACTGAG